CACACGTGCTGATTGGCTTGCTTGTATGTGATTAAAATGCTATTTACCTCTGTGGTGAGAAGCAAAGTGGCTTCCTATTTCTCTGTGGTGAAGAGGTAAATAAAGTTTGATTAAAGCATAGCAAAGTGACAACTAAGTTTGGTTTGATTGCATTTCAGGCGAGTTCCTTAGAAGAGATTGCGAGGGTAAGTTAGTTTGTTAGTTACATTATTTTCTAATTCATTGCATTTTCCAACCTTTTATGGTAAAATAACAAAGTTTTGAATACTGTAATGAGCTATCTAATGGAAACTAAGAAATGTGCAATGATTTTATGCAATGTTTAAAACTGATTAAAAAACATGAATTAGGAAGTATCAAGAGGGTAAATGTCCACTACTCTTCACCTCTGCATCCTAGGCCAGCAGAAGGATATCTCTTTTTTGGGGTGTACATGATTGTATATGAAAAAAAAGAGATTTTTATACCTTATATGTAACTTACAAGAAGATGTGTGTTTCATTATTAAGAGTTGAAGTAGATTAATTTTAGAATGTGCTTACATGATACTTAAAATGTATGTGCATTTACATATGCAAACATGAAAGAAATCTCTCAGGCTGACTTGTCATCAGTTTTGAAACATACTTTCCCTATGTAGCAGCAACATTTGTGCAGAAAGTTTTGCCCAACAAGTAGCACAAAGCAGTACATATTGATAAAAGCCAAATACCTTTTAATGCACTAACAAAGAAAGGGCAACTAATCACAGTGTGTTTGAGAGCGACATACAAAGACATCAATAAAATAAGTTTAGAAAATATGAGCAAGGAGGAGTGCAGTCCTCCTAATCTACATTGGCAGGAGCATCAAATATACAAATTAAGGGGGAGAGCTGCTAACAAAATTTTGGGAGATCACTTAGTTTAGTTTTTACAACCTCTGCACCACTAGCAGTTTCATCCAGCATGGTGATATTGTATTCTTTTGAGATTTATTTTCATGGCCAAAATGATTTGAGGTCTTGGCAGTATTAAAGATTAAATTCTTATGCACTGTTCCATAAGACACTGTTTCTCAAAAACGTACTTGAAGGTCTCAGACAAGACCTTGGAATCTTGAGAAAAATGTCATACTACACTTTTTTATCAGAGACTTATCATTCAGAGAATTCTTGAAAGATATTCAATGATAAGTGCAAAATATTTTGGGCTGTAAAAGAGAAGCTGCATCTCATATTTTCCTCAAGTATAGTAAGAGTATAAGGGTACAGTGTAAGTTTAATTTACTACATGTCAAATAAGCAAACTAAGTGCTTTTCACACACTCTGATTGGTTAGCTTGTTTGTGATTAAAAGACTATTTACCTGTGTGGCGAGAAGCAAAGTGGCTTCCCATTTCTCTGTGATGAAGAGGTAAAGTTTGATTAAAGCATAGCAAAGTGACAACTAAGTTTCAAATTGGTTTGATTGCATTTCAGGCGTTTGTCGAAACATATGAGGAAATGAAGGTAAGTTAGTAATTTTGCCATTCATTGCATTTTTCCAACTTAATGTCCACTTAACTCTTCACCTCTGCATCCTAGCTCAGCAGAAGGATAACTCTTTTGGGGTATGCCTGATTATGAAAAAAAAAAGTAGATTTTTATGCCCTATATGTCACTTACATGTAGATTTATGTTTTATTGTTAAGAGCTAAAGTGGATTAATTTTAAAATGTGCTTACATGATTGTTAAATATATGTGCATTTACATAATTATGCAAACATGAAAGAAATCTCTCAGGCTGACTTGTCAACAATTTTGAAACATATTTCCTCTTTGCAGCAACAGAGTTTGCTCAGAAAGTCTTGCCAAACAAGTAGCAAACCTGAAACCATGTTTTTATCTGGAACATTCTGAAAGAAAACATTTTTGATGAAGCAGTACATATTGGTAAAAGCTGTGTAAATTTTGTTGTATTATAACCAATGAAAATACAGCTGTGACATTATGGCATTATTTGTTGTGGTAAATAATACAATGTAAAGTGCTAAACATGACAGTTGAGCACAATGCTTATACATGTACAAAGAGCAGAGAGATCTCCCAATTAGTGACCTTAAGTATCATCAGTTTTATAAAACATATTCATTTGTTCCTCTTTTGCAGGCTACACCTTCAGTAGGGAGTTATACTGAACAAATAATTAGTCAGCTGCCATGCAATGGAAGATATTCCTCCCGCAATCCAGTCAGAGTTACCTTCCTGGCAAATAAATGGGGATGGTGTTGGGATTCTTGGAGATTCAACTCAGTCCTTGCAAAAGAGTTGTCCAAACAACTGGCAAAATTCCCTCATGTGAAAGTCTCTTTCTTAGTCCCTGAAGGTTCATGCAAAAGAATTGACAAGATAGATGCCAAAAGTCACAATGTTACCATTGTTGAAGCAAAAAAGCAACCTGGATTCCAAGATCCTAATGAGTGGCTGTTCTTCCCACCAAAATATCTCACTACACACATTGTAATTGGTGTGGGTGTGGGACTTTGCAAAATGGCGCAAATATTTAAGGAATATCACCACTGCAAAAGCATTTTTGTTGGTTGGGATTCTTTTGAAGAAAGCCTCTGTAGAAAGAGCAAATTAAGAAATGCTCTTGTTAAGGTTGATTGTGAAATATTGGAAAGAAAAAGCAATCTTCAACCTTTAATGGAAATGGCTGATTGTGTAGTTGCAAAAGGACCAAAGATGGCAGAAGAACTTTCCAGATTCCTCTCTTATCAGAAGAAAAGAGTTTTTAAGTTCACTCCAGGTATACTCAGTGAATTTACTGATATCACACAAACCACTGATGATAGGAAGAAGTTTCATATCCTGATTGCAGGACATGACAACCCCAGCCATTTTGAAAAAGAGGGACTTAAAGTTGTTGCTGAAGCAGTTGCTGGGTTGAAGGAGGGATCCTATAAGATTATTTTTGTTGGTGCTGCTGAGGAAAAAGAAAACTTTGAGAAATTTGTTGAGGAATTTCATAAATGTGGTGTTCCCAAACATCAGCTGATCATTCAAAGCCCTCCCAAAGATGAAGAAGAGTTGAAAAGGTGGCTCTGTGAAGCAGATCTTGCCATCATGCCCTCAGCTGAACAAGAATTTGGAATGTTTGGTCTTACAGCCTTGTCATCTGGCCTCCCTATCCTAGTACACGGTGCATCAGGACTTGGTGAAGCCTTGACAGATGTCCCTGGTGGTTCGTCGTTCATTGTGGAGTCAGAGGATGTCAGTGAGTGGTCCAAGGCAATTAAGAAGGTCAGGGACAAGGGGAGGACACTACGGCTTAAGGAGGCTGATTCACTGAGGAAAGATTACAATGAGGTGTACAGTTGGGAGAAACAGTGTGGAGCTCTTGTTGAGATGGTCTCTGATATGATTTTCTTTTATGTGACTTGCATGTGTTGGCTATACAGTCATATAGCAGTTGTCAAAGTAAAGCAATGTACATGTTCACTGCAGTTTAATTGTATTTTCAGCATTCTTGTTTAAGTTGAGTTAGTGATAATTCTGATTATCATTACATTTAGTTTTATCTTCTGTAGCCTGATAATTCATGTCAAATAACTTTGAAGTAGTGTAAACATTTTATTCAGACAGAGTAGCCCATTCACCTCAAATTTCCATTCCTCTGTCTCATTTTGTCTTTTTGTTTCTTTGCAGCTCAGCAAGACAAGACTCAGTAACATGGAATCTGAGTGAATGCATCACTTAGGTAGTAAATCTTTTCTTTTGATATTACGTCAAAATATTGTCAGATTAACCAAGTGATAAAGTTGTTAACCAGTAAAGACTGATTCCATCCCATTTGGCTCTCCCTCGCCATGTTTCTGCCTTAAAATGTTGTGATTTTGTGAGGAGCAATTCCCTTGGAGTTCTGGTAAATTATACTTTCTGAGACTTAAATGTAATTCCAATTGTCATATTAATTTTGTAAATTAGTTATAGTTATTTTTTTTTATTTTTCTGCAGCCAAACAAGACCAAACACCTTTAATCAGCATGAGAGGGTGTAAATGAAAGGAACAATGATGTATTCCTTTGTTATCTTAAAATATATGCATGAAATTTACAGATATAGACGTAGTTCCTCTGTTTTAAATGAGTACTATTGGAAGTTCCACTTACATGTACTTTAGGTTGATAAACAGTGCCAATTGAAAACACCTAGAGAGGTGTACAGAGGGCACTTTTATATAACATTTTTTAGGTGTGCAATTTACTAAAAAGAAGCCATCAAGGCAGGCTCTTATTTTTTTCTAAGAATGAGTAGGCTTTGCATTCTGGCTTTACTAGAATGATATTAACCAGTGTCCATTGTTAACACCTAGAGAGGTGTACAAAGGGTAATTTTGTATAACTTCATAAAGGTGTGTGTTAGTTACTTGAAACAAGCCATCGAAGCAGGCTCCTATTTTTTCCAAGAATGAGTGGGCTTTGCATTCTGGCTTTACTAGAATGATATTCACCAGTGTCCATTGTTAACACCTAGAGAGGTGTACAAAGGGTAATTTTGTATAACTTCATAAAGGTGTGTGTTAGTTACTTGAAACAAGCCTTCGAAGCAGGCTCCTATTTTTTCCTAAGAATGAGTGGGCTTTGCATTCTGGCTTTATCACAATGATATTAACCAGTGTCCATTGTCAACACCCAGAGAGGTTTACAAAGGACACTTTCACTCAACTTCATTGAGGTGTTTGCAATTGACTTAGCACAAGCCTATAGATGCAGGCTTTTACAAGTACAGTATATTTACTTCAGAAAAAGTTGGTAGATTTTAGTTTATTGTTTAATGTGTTATATATCCCTAGTTAAAGTAGGCTGCTGTATTCCAGGTGGGACATACATACTACATACTTTATTTCATAGCTCCCCCATGGGGGCTTTTCTGCTATACATGAATATTGAAATATCAAGTTACTAGGAAAAAAGAAAAAAGAAAAAAAACTATTTACAGATAAAAATATAGGTTGTAAAAACAGCTTACATTTTAATAATAAATCTCATATTCTATGAGATTATTTTTGTTGGTGCTGCTAAAGGAGAACACAGGTGATTTATTGAGAAATTTCAAGAATGTGGTGTGCCCAAGCATCAGATGATCACTCAAAGCCCTCCAAAAGATGAAGAAGAAATAAAAAGGTGGCTCTGTGAAGCAGACTTTGCCATTGTGCCCTCAGATGAACAATAATTTGGAATGTTTGGTCTTATAGCCTTGTCATCTGGCCTCCCTATCCTGGATCATAGTGCATCAGGTCTTGGTGAAGCCTTGAGAGATGTCTCTGGTGGTTCAGCATCCATTTTGGAGTCAGAGGAATTCAGTGAGTGGTCCAAGGCAATTAAGATGGTCAGGGACAAGGTTAGGGCAGTATGGCTTGAAGAGGCTGATTTAGATGTAGTTCCTCTGTTTTAAATGAGTACTATAGGAAGTTCCACGTACATGTACTTTAGGTTGATAAACAGTGCCAATTGAAAACACCTAGAGAGGTGTACAGAGGGCACTTTTATATAACATTGTTTAGGTGTGCAATTTACTTAAAAGAAGCCATCAAGGCAGGCTTTTATGTTTTTCTAAGAATGAGTAGGCTCTGCATTCTGGCTTTACTAGAATGATATTAACCTGTGTCCATTGTCAACACCTAGAGAGGTGTACAAAGGGCAATTTTGTATAACTTCATAAAGGTGTGTGTTAGTTACTTGAAACAAGCCTTTGAAGCAGGCTCTTATCTTTTCCTAAGAATGAGTGGGCTTTGCATTCTGGCTTTATCGCAATGATATTAACCAGTGTCCATTGTCAACACCCAGAGAGGTTTACAAAGGACACTTTCACTCAACTTCATTGAGGTGTTTGCAATTGACTTAACACAGACTTTTACAATTACAGTATATTCAGTTCAGAAAAAGTTGGTAGATTTTAGTTTATTGTTTAATGTGTTATATATCCCTATTAAAAGTAGGCTGCTGTATTCCAGGTGGGACATACATACTACATACTTTATTGCATAGCTGCCCCTCGGGGGCTTTTCTGCCATACATGAATATTGAAATATCAAGTTACTAGGAAAAAAGAAAAAAGAAAAAAAACTATTTACAGATAAAAATATAAGTTATAAAAACAGCTTACATTTTGATAATAAAATAGCATATAGCAAGTATTGAAATATCAAGTGACTGAGAAAAAAGAAAAAAAACTATTTACAGATAAAAATAAAAGTTATAAAAACAGCTTACATTTTGATAATAAAATAGCATATAGCAAGTATTGAAATATCAAGTTACTGAGAAAAAAGAAAAAAAACTATTTACAGATAAAAATAAAAGTTATAAAAACCGCTTACATTTTGATAATAAAATAGCATATAGCAAGTATTGAAATATCAAGTTACTGAGAAAAAAGAAGAAAAACTATTTACAGATAAAAATATAGATTATAAAAACAGCTTACATTTTGATAATAAATCTCATATTCTATGAGATTATTTTTGTTAGTGCTGCTAAAGGAGAACACAGGTGATTTATTGAGAAATTTCAAGAATGTGGTGTGCTTTTCTGCCATACATGATTATTGAAATATCAAGTTACTAAGAAAAAAGAACAAAAAAAACTATTAACAGATAAAAATATAGATTATAGAAACAGCTTACATTTCGATAATGAAATAGAATCTTTTGATATTTGAATTAAAATAGTTATAAAAAATTTTCTTTCTTTTTCTTCTTTGGTAAAGAGTTCAGAGTGTGTCCACGAGAGCACCGGGCAGTCGTGCTACATGCCATCACACCGATTTCAATGAAACTTTGCCAGGTTAAAAGATCTACCCCAAAACTCGAAAGGCAGAGTGGTTTCTGTTTTGATTTTTTTTTTCCGGTGGAGAAAGACCACCCCCCGGTTTTTCCTGGTTTCAATAGGTAAAATGCACGAAGCTTTCACTGTGATGGTGTTCAACCAATTACTTAAGCTAAAAATTGTGAAAAACTTTCGAAACTTACGTAGGAATGGAAAATTTCACGTTTAGAGAGATGCATGTAAACTAAAAACTTTCTACAAGTGTTTTCTTGTAAAAAAAAAAAAAAAAAAAGCGCAACGTGAAATTTTCCATTCCTACAAAAAGTCTCAAAAGTTTTTCACAATTTTTAGCTTTCTTGATCAATCATCTTGTATGAAGAGCTAAAAAATGTAGGTTTATTTGGTCAAGTGACCGGCCAGAGCCAGAATTGCGTGACAGGTGTAGTTGAGAGAAACTTGTCACAGTCGCAGATTTTAAAAGGCATCCAAGACAAAAATACGGTAGTGCCCAAATATTTTTTTGATGGTTTTCAGAGATGAAATGATGGATTATAAAGGGGAATTAAGATTAGTGTTGTAGCTTTCTGGCAAGGAGAGATATTTGACCTCAAAGTTCTCGAATATTTGGATGAATCTAAAAGTCTAAGAACACAGTCGTTTATTTGCCTTTGTTGATTGACAAGCCGTCAATCAAATTGACTGATACTTGCGTCGGACATATACTAAGGATGTTATAATATGTGTGTAAACCCTTGGAATAATTGGTTAAATACCATCGCAGTGAGGGCTTCATACATTTTACCCGATTTCCTTGGTGAAAACCAAGAAAAACCGGGGGTGGTCTATCTCCCCCCGGAAAACGCCAAAACAGAAATGTTGAGTATTAGGGTTCGTTATATACTACTATAGAGCAAAGCGTGCACAGACCAAGTGCTCTACACAACTGCTTCATTGGAATGCCATGAAATTAATTACATACGATGATATGTGAGCATAATCACGTGACTGCGGTTAAAGGTGTGCTAACCAATAGAAAAAAGATTATATAATAGCTAAGGTATTTATCCAAATAGGAACAAACACTACAAGAAACCACTTTTTTTTCGGTGTTTTGGGGTAGACCCTTTAAACTGGCAAAGTTTCATTGAAATCGGTGTGATGGCATGTAGCAGGACTTGCCAGTGCTCTCGTGGGTTTTACTGAGTCAGAATCCTCGCCCATTTTATGGTTTCGGAAAACTACCGGTAGATCGATTAATCTTCCCAAGTTAAAGAGCGATCTTCGTAATTCAGAACTGTTGCTTAACACTCCCAATCTCTTTACTGATCTTGTTAACTGTTTTAGGACAACTTTAAAGTCCATCGTTGACAAACACGCTCCTCGGCGGAAGAGAACCATAGTTCAATGACCTCAAGCTCCATGGTTGTCCGATGAGATCAGATCTGCAAATCGTCTTCGGAGGATAGCTGAGCGTAACTGGAAGTTTGCAAAGTTTGAATCTGACCGGAGAACATTCAAACTTCTTCGGAATAAAGCTTTCTTTCTTGTGAATAAGTCTCGATGTGAATTCTATACAGATTTCATCAGCAACATCTCTGGTGATCAATGCAAGCTTTTTGCTTCTACAAAGAAACTGTTAAATCAGTCAGCAGAATTGCCTTTTCCACTGCACAGCGACATGTTAGCTTTAGCTAATGATATGGGGTCGTTTTTTATCAAGGAAATATCGGATCTTCGTGTTAGCCTTGATACAACTGAGAATTCGGGCGGCACCATTAACCACCATTGTTCCCAGTGCTCTTCGTCCTTTACTGCTTTTCGCCGACAAAATCCTGTTTACTTGACTCTGTTCCCACTAACGTCATGAAAGATTGATTGCCTTAATGAGTTACTTCCGATATTATCAACCATGATAAA